AATAAGTCCCCCCTGCCCCCACCCCAGGGGGTCCCCCCCACAACTGGGGAGCAGGGCCTCTCCCCCCCCCTCAGCACCCCCCACCTGCTGGGGCCCCCTAACACTGGGGAACAAGCCCCTTCAGCACTGGGAGCAGGGCCTCTCTCCACCCGCTGGCTCCGTGTGGTAGGGTGAGTTTCTGGGGGGAGGTGGGTGCTAAGGAGTGAATGGGTGGATTGGGTTGGCCTAGCCTAGGAGGTGTTTGGGGCTGGCTGGCTAGTTGGGAGGGAGGGGTTATTGGGGAAGGAGTGTGTAAGGTGGGGAGGGTGAAAGAGAGTCGGTAGGTGGCTGCAGAGTCTCTCTCCCTGAGCTGGCTGGGTTTTCTCTTCCCTTCCCCTCAGTTGAAATGATTGGTCTGGCTTTTATCATTCCCCCAAATCCTACCAGTCGTGCATATGGGGGTCTCATGCACCTAATCAGAGCGCCCCAGCTGCGTTAGGGGCTGCTGTCCTCCTTCCATCCCCAAGATATGCTCCCCGTTACCTTCTGAAAATCTCCCACCCCTGCCAGCACTGGGCTACTAATCGGCTCTCTCTGTCTCCTGCTTCTAAAAGCATGGGCGACGGGAGGGATTATCCCAGCCCATGTATTTTTTGTGTTGTATCTAATGGAAGGAAAAATCAGGGCATTTTTTGCCTTCCCTGAGGGATTCTGGTAGCGTAACTAATCTAAGCACCCAGTACATTTCTCCCAGCTGTCATCTTCAGTCCAGCTCTGGCTGCTTGAGTGGCATAACGTGGAGCTTGAAAGAAGGCCCTACTTTTTCTATACTGGGGATTTCTCACTCTCCTGAAGTACATGCCCCATTGGGCAGGAAGAGGTCAAGAAATGTTTGTAAGGAATTAGCTGTAAAAAATGTGTGTCAAAAGTTTCTGTAAGGTCACACCACTGGGGAAACAACATTGTGTTGGGAAGTTAACAAACATAGTAACTGACATGTTGAACATGATTTTGTACTTAATGTGGACAAGGACAGATGTGGTTAATGACACACTAACTGGTTGTAGCTAACCTTAGGAGCAGCCTAGGGTTAACCATTTAACCCTAGGCTGGTTTTTGAAAAAACATTGTCCTTGTCTACATGAGGTGCAAAGTCACATTAAACACTAAGTTAACGCATCTTCTAACATGATGCTTTTTCTCAGTGTAGAGGTGGCCAAATTATCAGTTAAGATTACTGGACCTCATATACATGGGGAGCTGTTTCTGACTGAGTCCATCTGTGAATGCTTTTCTTCCAGATTAGTTTATTCCACGTTGGAATAAGAGCAGTTGGAATAAAAGCAGTCCCATGTGCTTTAAATTCATACCCTACCTTATTCTGTATATCTTGCAGGTGTAGATAAGCCCTTAGAGCATCTCGCCAGCATGGCTCTTATGACCCCAAGCAGAAGAGATCCTCATCAAGACAGTTATTGAGTTCTTCCCCTTAGTGGCATATTGTGGCACCTCCTGCACTACAGAGCAGGCTGGTCTAGAATACAGGCTTTTGGAGCGAGAAGGGGCTCTTTTAAGTAGCCTGCCATGAGGATAACTCTTATTCCACTAGATCTGGAATAGCCCTCTCAACTGAGGTTTGGTTCTGGTAGTTGTAGAATCAAAGAATAATAGAATATCAGGGTTGGAAGGGACCTCAGGAGGTCATCTAGTCCAACCCCCTGCTCAAAGCAGGACTAATCCCCAACTAAGTCAATTCATGCCACTGACTTCTCATAACTGCTTCCTTTGACAGGGTCTCCCTGCTGTACAGCCTCGACTCGTGGCTGTGAGTAAAACCAAACCTGCAGACATGGTTATAGAGGCCTACAATCAAGGGCAACGCAGTTTTGGAGAAAACTATGTAAGTGCCCCCACCTTTCTCCCATTATTTCATAGGCTTTAAGGCTAGAAGGGACTGTTGGGATTTAGTCCGGCATACTGCATGGTACAGGCCATAGAATTTCACCCACTGAAATCCTGCATCTGGCCCAAGAAGTTGATCTTGAACTACAGCATGCCTTTTAGAAACTGCCTGACAAGCATTCGCTCTTTTGTGGTGAACCCTTAAGCTTTAGCCCTTGGGTGACTAGTAAAAGCGGACTCCACTTTGAATCCACAGTTAGGTTTTCTTTTGTGGACTGGAGCATTTTTCTTTATTTTAAGGTTGTTTAACCACCACTGTATGAATTCTTGTCTTCTAATTTCTTGACAAATGCTATAGTTCCATTCTAGACAGCAGGACATAACGGAAAGGGAAGTAACTGGGTATTTTATCCAGTAAGCCATAATTCTGGGCTGTGGTATTTCGTGGCTGGCTCCTTTGCTTACATCCTGCTCTCTTTTTGCAATTAAACCCCAGGCAGCAGGGTAAAGAAGGGAGAGCTATAAGCAGTGTGTGAAACTTTGATATTTCTGTACCAGATATCAGCACTTTTAGCTGACCTCCTGTACAGCAAGGATGTTAGCTTGTGGCCAGGTGTCTGTGTGTGTGTGTGTGTGTGTGGGTGGGGGGGGGAAGGGAATCTAGATGTGCGTTCTTGGTAAAGTAGTGAGAGAGAGTGCCCTGTATCTGAATGCTGTTCAATGTGGCAATACAAGTAAAAGCGCACTACTCAACTTCAGTCGTCTTCTACCAAATGCCAGACTCTCAGCTGAGTGGTGCTTGTCCGTGTTATACTCCATGTAGCACCTTCTGCTTGTGATGCCAGTGTATTACATCCATGAGCATTACTGGGTGCTACAGAGGAGAGAGCAGTCCCCATCTCACATCATCCCCATAGACACTCCATGGAAAGTCCATAGTTGTGTATTTGCTGGTACAGTTGTATGGTGTGTCCCAGGAATGCGGGTTGTGGCACAGTACCTCTGCTCTTCCAGCAGAAAATGGAGAAGTGCCTGACATAGTTTTAACGAGAGGATGTCTTTAATTCACTCAGGTTCAAGAGTTGCTAGAAAAGGCATCAGACTCCAAAGTAAGTTTACTTTTTTTTTATATATAGTCTTCTTTTCACCCCCAAAGTATCTTTACAATTAGGCAGACATTCCGTCTATGTTTTAAGGAATCAAGGTGGAGGCTGAAGGAGGGTGGGACATCCTTAGCTTCAGGCCTGTTTATCGGAACTCTTAAAGCTCCTGTCTATGAGCGCAGTTAGTCGTGAGGCTTGGGTGTGGACCCTGCATTGCCAATAGTGCAGTGGCTCTCAAACTTTTTTACTGGTGACCCCTTTCATATAGCAAGACTTTGAGTGCGACCCCCACCCCCTTATAAATTAAAAACACTTTTTAAATATATTTAACACCATTATAAATGCTGGAGGCAAAGCGGGGTTTGGGGTGGAGGCTGACAGCTTGCGACCCCCCCCATGTAATAACCTCATAACCCTCTGTGGGGTCCCGACCCCCAGTTTGAGAACTCCTGCAATAGTGGTCTCTAAAACCTGAGAACAGCCTGTATCTCCTGTGGCAAAGACCAGTGATAATGACTTGCTTTTGAAAAACCACATTGTTTTACGGTTAGTTTTTTGCCCACGCTTTGCATAACATTCTATTCCCTTAGTCCTCCCCACAGGAACCAATCTCACTTGCACCAGAAGCACTGTCTGAGCCAAACTTCCCTCAGTAAATTACAGAAAGAGGTGCCTGGCGATTTTTTCCCCCTAGACACAAACAGCCCCACATGCTTTTTGGTTGGTGAAAAAATTGCAGTTCAAACCTGATTAACTCTTTCTCTCTGTTCTCAGATTCTGTCTTCGTGTCCAGAGATTAAATGGCATTTTATAGGCCATCTGCAGAGGAATAATGTCAACAAACTGATTGGTAAACTTAATTTAATTTCTTTAAGATCAGTATCCCGGGGCAACAAATTCTTCCTATGTCATAACTTGCTTGATTAACCCATTAGTGCAGCTGATTACAGGCCACGAAAGCATGGTCCTGGCTTCATGTTTTACTTTTACTTTTGTTTGCTGTTATCCCCTGCCATAGTCCACTGCTGGCTGGAGGCAATTCAAAATAGCTCTGTGATACCTTTGCTGCACAGAGAGCTGGGAGCCCCTTAGTTGGGAGAATATGACTTGGTGTCTCTGATATTTGCCTCTGACTGCAAGAGAGAACTGCTTTTGTGTTCATGAATTTTCATATACACTAAAATAAAACTCAGCCTGTGGGACTCATTTCCACAAGACATCAAAGACCAAGAGCCTAGCAGGACTAAAAAAGACTAGACAGGTGCATGGATAATGGGACTATTCTGAGATTTCAAGGTAAAACTTTCAAAAGTGCCTAAATGAGGCCTTGGCTACACTAGACAGTGTTGGCTGGTATAGCTATACAGCAAACGCTCCTAGTGTAGATGCGGTTCATATGTACCAATGGGTGGTTCTTCTGATATATCTGTTACCCAGCAAAATAAGCTGTGGCTATGTCCACGCTACAAAGATAAGTTGACCTATGTTAAGTCGACCTTACTGCCACTGGAGTAATTACTGTGGTGGCTGCTGTCCACGTTACCGTCCTGACTGAAGAGGGGCAGTGTGGGGGGGATGAGAGCTCCAGGGCTCTCAGCTCCACACCAGGAACCCAGCTGCCCCTGGGGCTTGTCGCCTTCCAGCTCCCAGCCAGCAGTGGGGGTGGGGGGCCAGCCACCCGGGGCTTCTCGCCTCCGGTGGGGAGATCCGCATCTGGAGTTTGGCCAGCTGCCGTGCTCCCGGAAGACAGGAGGAGTGGGGAGCTCAGCTGGCAGCCCAAGCTGGGAGCCTGGGTGGCAGTCTGGCTTGGAGTGGAGACCCGGCAGCAGCCCAGCTTTGAGCTGGCTTTCTTGTCAATTTCATGGCTCCAGCCCCTGTAAGACTGCATTGTCCTAACTACACCAACATAAGCCCTACCCCTCTTATTGAGGTGGTTTTATTATGTCCGCATAGCAGGGGAGTTACGTCGGCGGGAGGAGCATTTCAGTGTGTATGCCTCCACTGTTTTGTCGACAAAACTCTGTAGTGTAGACAAGGCCTAGATCAGAAAACACACTCCTGTATTACTGCATCTACACTAGGGCTTTTGCAGACCCAACTCTAAGGGTTGTAAAACCTCTTGGGTGTGCACCAACTTCTGTTGGGGGTGAGGAGGAAACTTCCTGGGGAGTAGAGACTCATATCTACTCACTGGAGGTTTGTTGCAGCTGACACTGGCTACTGTGGAAGACAGGATCCTGAACTGGGATGGGGCTATGGTCCAATCCCATCTGGCAATTCTTGGAATAGTATTTCATTGATCCAGGGATCAATGAATTTTTGTTGTTTACTTAGCTCTTCTACAGCCCAAACTCTCTTTGTGCTGGGTCACTGTGACCTCTTATAAGAATGGGGGAGATGATGTCGCACAACGGAGGGATATTTTGGTATGTGCCATTTGTAGCGAGTAGTCAAGCTGAACTGCCACATCTGCTAAATTGGCCTAACATAGTCTGTGTGTTCCACGGCAAATGCACAGTGTAGCACACTGAACGTGCTGTGCAAAGTCTAAAGTCTGTCTTTGGTGTATGGCGCTAAAGAATGATTGAAGCCTCGTGGAAACCTGGTGACAAGATCATTCTGTTTCTGTATCTCTGTTACTGATGCCTGTCTGCATGTTTGTTCCTCTGCCCCTGCTGCTTCCCAGAGAGAGGCTTATGACTTCAAGTGGGGAGTAAACAGCAGGAGCAGATGATCCAAAGAACAGCCACCATGTTCCTCGTACAAATGACCTTGGTAACAAAGAGCAAGGCAAGAAAAATACAGTAAGCTCTGGGGGTGTAAATAGAACTTTAAGCTAAACACTTCCTGTACTGCAGCTTTAAGGTTTTAGAAAGCACTGTGGTAGGTTAAATCCTCTTTCAATCCATTTCTTTCCTTAACAGAGATTTTTGACTATTTCATTTGGTTTGCAACCAAAATTTCTCTCTCCATCTCTGCCACTTACATTTGTACCATCAAGTTGGATGCCATTTTGCATTTAGCTCCTACAGTGCCATACGTTTTCACTGTGCTGTACAAACACAGACTAATCCTCGCAGCCCTTGTGAGGGAGGGTGGTTCTGTTCATTTCGTTTTATGGATAGGGAACCTGAGATCCAGAGGTGAAAAGACTTGCCCAAGGCAAATGTATTGGATTCGGGATTGGGACTTGGGAGGTCCTGGCGACAGTTAACAAGAGGCTATTGCCAGTGGAGGCAGACGGTGTTCCAGCTACAGCTGTTTGTGCTTTTGAAGTGCCTTCAAATCTGCCTTATTTCTCCCTAGCTGTCCCCAATCTGTTTATGGTGGAAACGGTGGATTCTGTGAAACTGGCAGACAAAGTCAACAGCTCGTGGCAGAAAAAAGGCTCACCGCAGGGGTTAAAAATCATGGTGCAAGTTAAGACAAGTGGAGAAGATAGTAAGTGGTTGGACACTTGAGCTAATGACATTCATGTTCTGTTAGCACTGTTGATGGGTACAATATAGCTGGGTTAGACTAATGTGTGTATTTAAAGAGCTACTCTAGGTCTGAAATTAAACCTGCTTTCAGTGTTTTAAAATGGAGTATCTCTTTCCAGTCTGAATAGCTCAGTTAAAAAACCTGCATTATCACTGAGAAATTGGGGAGGTGGGAAATCCGGCAGGAGAACAGGAAAAGCATGGCTTGGGTGTCCTTTGCTGGCATCACCAGAGCAGTTAATGCTGTTCCTCACATTGGCCTGGCCTCAATTGTGCAGCAAACAAAATGTTTGTTTCAAATGCCATTGGAAACGTGGGGGCACAGGAGGGCAGCCTAGCTTGCCGAACAGAAATCAAGCAGGTATGTGACGAGACAGACACTTAAGTTTTTACCAGCATAGCTATAGTCCGCTGGGGGGTGTTTTTTGTTTTGTTTTAACAAATCACCTACACGGGCAAAAGCCCTGGCATAGAGGCTGTTATAGCAGCAAAAAGTGCTTTTGCCAGTTTGCCTTATTTCACTCACTGACCCAGAGTAAGCTATACTGAAAGGCAGGTGCTCTTTTCGTGGTATAATGGCATGTCTACACCGGGAGGGTTTGCCAGTGTAGTTATACCAGCAAAACTTAAGTGTAGACAAGGGCTCATATTTGAAAACACAGAGGAAGTGTTGCAGAGAACAGAGTAAGCAAGGCACTGTCACCATCTCTTTCAAGGTTGATTTTCTTTTAACATCGATAGATTTTTTGTATTGCAGACCTTCTGGGTGTTGCTCCTTCATCAGGTGAAGCAAGTGGTCCAAGTGCCCAAGGTGGCAGTGCTAAGGAGAATGCATAGGAGACTTCTCAATGCTCTAAAACCACTAGATCACCCCAGATGTTCCACAGCTCTTGAAGGGCTGCAAGTGGCTGTACCATTCTGTGCTCCATTTGTGAGAGCCCCAGCGTCTAGTTTGATACTGCTGTAGGCCGTAGATTTTTAGTGGGCTAAATTACAACAAAGTGAAAACCATATCTAGGCAGCCTCTGGCTCTGAGCAGGGAACTCGATATGGAGTTGGCATGTGTTGCTGTTTCACCATTGTGGTATATGCCTTCTTTTTCAGGTAAGCATGGTCTCCCACCTGGAGAAATAGTGGGAACAGTGGAGCATATAATCAAGGAGTGTCCAAGCCTGGAGTTTGTGGGTCTGATGACAATTGGCAGCTTTGGACATGACCTTAGTAAGGGACCAAATCCTGACTTCCAGGTAAGACTTACTTGGGGCCAAGTCTTTGGACTCACTGGAAATCAGTGGCAAGATTCCCATTACGTGGGACCACAGTTTAGCCCTTCTGACAGTAATCCTGTCTAGGGCTTGTGGAGGACAGAGCTAAATGTGTGCAGCGCTAAACAGACCACCACCCCCACGCTATTCATACAGCTCCCATGAACCCAACTGACCAAGACTGTGCCATCTCTTCCGCAGTGAGGCAAGGAAGTGGGGACATAGCAGCAGGCTGAGAGAGGTGCAGCATCCAGTTACAGAACAGCCAGTTAAGGGCTACTGTTGCTTAGCTCTTCCAGTTGAAAAGGCTGACTGCAGAAAGGCCTGCTGGGAGATGCGTTCTTACAGTAGCCTGACTGTAAGCCAGTGCGACCAGCTCCCCGGCTGTGGTGTCAGAACTCCCAACGGCAGCAGAATTTCAGTCCCTTTCTTCAGGGATGGGTTTAATTTTCAAAACCAGAACAGATCCCCAGGTTTGGCTGCATGGTGTCTCCTCGAGCCTCTTCCTTGGAGGGATTCTGCCTCTGCCCGGTGTATACAGGAGGTGTCTCCAGCAGAGTCTTCCACTTACCTGGTGGGGAAAGGACCTGAAAGGGGGCTCTCCCCAAGTCCCTGCAGGGGTCTCTTCTAACTGAGCTGCTTGCTGGCCTTTCATTTGAGGACCAGGTGATCTGCAGGCTATGCCTGATTCCTGGCCGAGGACCTATTGCCTGGGCGATGCATGATTAGACACAGTTGCAGCTAAGCCCAGCACCCTTAAAAGGCTGCCCCACCATGTGATCACAACCTTATGCTGCAAAGATTTATAGTACGTCTATACTACAAGTGCTACGGTGACACAGCTGCAGTTACGCTGCTGTAGTGCAAACGCTGCAGCGACAGAGGGGGGTTTTCCATCACTGAAGTAAATCCACCCCTTCCAGAAGTGTGAATTTTTTCAAGCCCCTGAGTGACTTTGCGAAGTCGATCCAAGTTTTAGGTGTAGACCAGGCCTTGTCAGGATCAGGAAGAGGCTTCTGGGTTGCATAGGTCACACCTTGTAACAGAACAAATAGTTTCCCTTTTCTGCGGCAGATAACCTCTCTAACAAACTCTCATTTAATTATGATATAGAAAACATCCGTAACTGGCAGTAGCTACGCTTACTCAGTGTCACTTGTGTTTGGTAACTAATGAAGTGTTCTACAAACCTTTCCTGGGCATTGGAAGGAAGTGAATTGTTGATTGGTGTTTGTATTGTGGTAGTGTCTAAAGATTTCTGTCAGGGATCAGCGCCTATCTGCGAGGCACTGTATTAGCCTGACACGGACGGTCCCTGCTCCAAAGAGCTTATGTTCAAAATATGACAGGCTCCAAATGAAAATAGTTTTCAATTTGCTCCAGTGTTCACTCCTTAATACTTGGCATTTCTAGAGCATTCTTGGTTTGCAGAGCATTTTGAAGACAATATCCTCAGGCCCCTCTGAGGTAGGTAAATCGTATTGTCCCCTATTCCATAAAGAGAAACTGAGTGACCTAGAGGTTAATGACTTGTTCGCAGCTGCAGAGGCCATTGGTATCAGCGCTGGGATGAGAATGTGGGAGTTCCTGATTCCTAGTTCTAAAACGCAGGTTAGGACAGTTTCACCTTGGAGGGAAGCTTTTCAGTCAGGGTATAAACCCCTGGCAACAGGATTTGGAAATGCTGATGCACCCTTATCCCTGGAGGTTCAAAGGTGACAATGTTGTCCAATTCAGGGACTTACAAGGAAGTATAACTTATAACAGCCTGGTCCTTTGCATAATCCCACCTGTCCTCTCCTGAGGCTGTATCCAGGACATTCATAGGAGCCCACGTTGTGAAGATTGCTGAGGAAATGCACTGAATCACCTAATCAGACAGATCTGCCTTCAGGCAAAGCTTCAACCACAACTTGCCTTTGTTGTTTTCTGCTTTGAGGGACCTGTGTCTGAGGCCAAGTAGCATAAGGTCCCACTGCTGCTCTGAATTAGCAGGCCAGCTCCAGGCACACTGCTGTGACACTTGTATCCCTTGAGAGGATGTGAAGGCTTTTGTGTGTATTTTCACTAATGTGGCCTATAGATAAACTGCATTGTAAATTTCCAAAAGCTCACAAGGTAACTTAAAAACAGGAACGAGTCCTTGAGAACAGGGAGAATGGGAACTGCAGTCAGATGTCGGGAATCTCCAAAGAAGAGCCGAAAGCTTGTTCCAGGGCACTGTGAAAAGCATTCGGTGTAACTGTTGAGCAGTGTAATCTGCCCCTTGTTTCCTCTCTTAGGTGTTGATATCCTTGCGACAGGAGGTATGCGAAAAGCTAAATATCCCCATTGAGAAAGTTGAGCTGAGTATGGGCATGTCCACAGACTATCAGCATGCAGTAAGTCTGGTTTCCTTTGGCCACCCCAGATCTAAGGTAGCAGTCATCCCACTGATACTACCTCCCTCTAGGGATAGTGATCAAACAGCCAGACCTTGCAGCCCATCCTGCACGGAGATTCTGAAGCTAAGTCTCATGAGGAGCACAGCTGATCTTAACTGTAAGCCTAGAACTGGGTCATCATTGATCTCTCTGTTTGATAGCTTCCCCCATTTGTCATGACCCTTCCCGGAGTAAGGCTTGCTCCAGTGACTTCCACATTAGTGTGACTTGGAGCACTGGTTCTAGTAAGGACACAACCTGTGTATCTAAGGTAGCTACATGGACCCCATCCCTGGGGTGTCTGAGCTCTTCCCAATCGTTAATGTATTTCTCCTCACAACGCCCTTGTGCGGCAAGGCAGTGCTATTATCCCCATTGTACAGTGGAGCACAGAGACTAAGTGACTTGCCCAAGCTCTCCCAGGGCGTCTGTGGCAGAGCAAGGAATTGAATCCAACGTTCCCAAGTCCCAGGCTAGCACCCTAAACACTGGACCATCCTTCCTCTCTTCTTTTGTTCTAAAGCAGGCAAGCACAGGGCTAGCAAATTCGGGTCTGTTCTGGGATCTGCTGGCAGCATGGGAATACGGCTAGCTTGTTTGCTAACTTGTTCCACTGGTGGATATCTCTTGCGCTATGGCTTACTACTGGAGTAAATGATCAAAAGGGCACTTCGAAGCCCAAATGTAGAGCAGAGATTGCATGTGGGAATAGAGAAATTGTGCATTCTTGTGTGTCCTAGTGGTTAAGCCCCCAAGCTGGGTTACTGATGGGGCTAATGCTCTGTGGGACAGCCACAGTGTCTGAGGGCTGTCTTGTTCCCTCTTCTCTCTACAGATTGAGGTTGGATCCACAAACGTCCGGATTGGAAACATTATTTTTGGAGAGCGGGACTACTCCAACAAACCAGCCAACGCCAGTGACGCTAAAAGCAAAGTGGAGTCCTTGGCTGTGCAAGAGCACTAAATGGAAAGAGGAAAGATGCTCTAAACTACAGGACACCAGGGAGACTTAACTATGCACTTTCACCTCCTTCTGTAGTGACAGCTTGTCATGCTAGCAAGGGGAAATACCTGGTAATAGACCAGAGGTCTCAGAACCTATAACGATTATTGTATGAGAGTAGAAACTGGAATTTTTTTTTTTAACCCACCACTAACAAGAAAACTTGTGGTTGAAAATGACTTCAGTATCTTAGCTACTTTTAAGAACAATCACTCTTGGATAACTATATTGGATAAACTGATTAAGCACTAGAATTGAGTTATTAACAAGCAAGAAGCATCTCCAGCAGTCTGTGATTATATTTTTAATATGAGGCGTGGTTTACCTGACGGAGAACTAACTTCTGGTTAGCCAGTTTTAATTTTGTCAGAGGCATCTCTAAATACCCAGTCATCTCGAGTGAGAAGGTATGTGGCTCAATAGCTACCGTATGCCTAGGTAGAAGTTACTTTGTAGACACACATCGATAACACTTAACAGTATTGACACTGAAGAGAATATATCCGTTCTAATAACGAACAGATGAGTGAATAAAGAACACAGTTGCTAGTGCAAGTCAATGGCACGCTGCTTTTGGCACATAAATTGGAAGGTGCGAGTGTGCTGGCTGACCAGAGGTTGTATTTGTCCTCTTCAGACTGGCATTGCTAACTCTTACCACTGGTGACATATCTCCTCCTGTCTTTGTAGGCGGCTTTTAAGCCTTTAATCTTTTCCCCTCGTAAAGTGTTGAGTTATTTACGTACTACCCGATAAGTCCGGTTGCAGTGTGCTCTACTGGCTAGAGCAGGGAACTGTGTGTCTCAGACTCCTGGCTCTGCCATTGGCTTGCTATGTGATCTTAGGCAAGCCACTTAACCACTCTGTGCCTCAGTTTCCCCATCTGTCAAATGGGGATAATAATACTGACCTACCTCACATGGAGGATTGTGAGGCTTGCTTGTTTGTAATGTGTTTGAAACCCTCGGAGGAAAGGTGCTGCAGAAATGCGAAGTATTATTACCCCATTACGTCCAGATGTACATGAAATCAGTTGTATTGCCACTGCACAGATGCTGTAATATAGTTCCCAAATCTTTAAATTCACTTATTCATTGGCCCTGACCTCTGCTCTTTCTAAAAGTGAGAAGGGGGAAGCTCTTCCATCACAGTAGCTGTTTCATCCAGGCTTGCAGCACATAGTTTCACTGACAGTGTTTACAGCAGATCTGTTTTGTAACTCGCATTTTGACAGTCGGCTTCAGGGTCTTGTCTGTTGCAAGAATGAGGAGACCTTAGTCACCAGTAGCAATACCTGCTTTTCATGGCAAAAGGCTTCTCTCTGTGTGCGCGTGTTTGGTTAAATCAGCCGTGGGTTTTATCTTCTAAATGTAACTGAAAAGAACACACTCTTGGATCAGCCTGTCATGTTACATAGCTTCAACACTGCATGCAGTCTGAACGGCCCTCGTCAGAGCTGCAAAGGGTGGTGTTTGATCTAGTATGTTAATAAAACCGTTGTGAATTTGAATACCATCTGTGCCAATGACAAAGCTATTAAAGATGTTATTTTTATGTTCCAATGTTTTGGATGAACGCTGGGGGACAGTTGCTTGTTACATCTTGCATGGCAACTGGCCTGCATAACATGGGGCTGATGTTTACTGAGACTGGCTTGTCCTGGAGGAGGGGGCAGTTGCTTTGAAAGACCGCTGAAGCAAAGGGCCTGCCTGCCTGCCTAAGAGGAAGGGCTTCTTGATCAGAGGGAAAAATAAACGAAGGCTGAGACTGTAGAGCAGCCCAAATGAGGTGAGTAGTTCTCTCGCTGTGCCTCTGGGTGGCACTGTCCCCAAATCTGTAGAGCTGGTTTAAGAGAGAGATTAGTAGAGTATAGTACCTTTTGGCTGTGGGGTACAGATACATCCATCGTAATCCTAGGCTAAAATGGCTAGCCAGAGGTATGGAAGTGTTTGTGCTCTCCAACCACGAGGTGGGCTGGGACAGAGCAGGAAATACCCGAGCAAGGAACAGGCCTTAAGCAGAAGCAAGGGAAACAGAGAAGAAATGATAGAGAGCATTAGCCAATGATTCCCCACCCGGACTCCAAAAAATAAAAAGGAAGGTGGCAGAATGGCTATCACTACCGATTGTGTTGGCTCACCTGCCAGTCAGCTATTGAGGAATGACAATCTCCTGGCCTACATGGTGCTTTTCCACCCTGATCTCTACAGCAATAACAAGTTTGGACTATTCGTGTGTTATACACCAAACAAGCCCTGATCTTCAGTATGCTTTCTGCTGTGGACTGCAGAAGAATGGGACTAAATGATAATGGACTCAGCTGTGAATCTTTCTTCCTTAGCTCATATTCCCTCCATGAAGCTCACCTGCTTTCCCTTCTCTCCCATCTTCTCTGCTCACTTCCTGAATGGAAACGGGATACTAGTGGGGCTTAATGAGGCAATGAAAGATCTAGACTGGAAGGTAAGTGCCAGGGATCATGGTATTGCAGGAACCTATTGTGTTAGTGGATTAATACAGTGGACTTTGAATTCTGGAGCATGGCATTCAAATAACAAACTAGGTCACCAATGAACATAAGTGTTTGGTTTCTAAATCTCCATTTGTGTCAATTTGCACTCAGTAGCAGTACCAAAAAGATGCCTAGGACTCAAATAGCAGGATCTGCTGCTGGCCTTCAGTGAAGTACACGGTCACAGCTATCCCCGAGACCTACAGCTGATATAATGAGGTGTTTAGCATTAGAGAAGCACTTTGCCACCTTGCCACTACCTCTCCCACAATGCTGATCTAAGGAGTGGTATCAAGGGCAGCCTGGAAGGAGGAACTAGGCCATTAAGATCACAGTGGCCGTGGAGGAGGGAGTGCCAACATGACAAGGCATTAATGGGGAAAGCCTAGCACTGTTAGCTTCTGTTCTCCAGTTGTGAAGCTGCTTCACTCGCACGCATCACCCCCGCTTCCAGCATGCATTGTCGTGCTGGTGCAAGGTGTCACTGACAACCCAGGAGCCTTCTATGTTGCAGGTTTGATGGGCAGCACCAGTGCCAGCTTCATGCACACCCTGCCCCCTACCAATAGAAGGACACCCTCCCCCCAGATTGGGGATTTGGTCTCCTTTGGCAACTCTGAGGCTGCCAGCAAGGGTGCCAAATGTGGTGGTCCTCCCTGTCCAGGGAGAAGTGGGCTTAGACCCCCACTCGTTGCACAGAGGCCACCTGCCAGATGCTAACTGCTAGTCACTGGAATGGAGTCAAGAGCCTTGTGATGAAAAGTTCCCTGGCCTGTTGTTAACCCCGTGGCCCCTTGTCCCCCTGCAACATGAGCTTTAGTTACATCTATTTAAATACAAGCACTTGCCTAGTTTGCTGCCACCCTTATTCCCTCTTCTAGAGGCATTGTCACTGTCAGCATTTGCCTTGAAAGAATAATCCCAGCCGATGAAGGTTTAGTCTTGAGGTCGGATGGATTACCCCTCCCATATAAAAGGTGTAAAGAAGTACTTGTTTGTGTTAAATCTGCAGCCTATTGTTTCCAGTGGGTGTCCTTCAGTTCTTGTTGTGTGAAGGTGTAAATAGCACTTCTGTATACACTTTCATCACCCCAGTCATGATTCTATAGACCTCTATCATATCCCCCCTTAGTCCTCTCTTTTCCAAGCTGAAAAGTCCCCGTCTCTTTAATCTCTCCTCATACGGAAGCTGTTTCATACCCCTGATCATTTTTGTTGCCTTCTTTGTACTTTTTCCGATTCTAATATCTTTTCTTGAGATGGGGCGACCAGAACTGCACGCAGTATTCAAGGTGTGGGTAGGGCCGGCTCCAGCTTTTTTGCCACCCCAAGCGGCGAAGGGAGGGGGGAAAAAAAAAAGCCGCGATCGGCAGCACTTCGGTGGCAGCTCTACCGTGCTGCTTCATTCTTTGGCAGCAATTCGGCGGCCGGTCCTTTCTTCCGAGACGGACTCACCGCCGAAGAACCAGATGTGCTGCCCCTTTCCATTGGCCACCCCAAGCACCTGCTTCCTATGCTGGTGCCTGGAGCCAGCCCTGGGTGTGGGTGTACCATGGATTTATATAGTGGCATTATGATGTTTTCTGTCTTATTTTCTATCCCCTTCCTAATGGTTCCTAATATTATATTAGCTTCTTTGATTGCTGTTGCACATTAAGCAGATGTTTTCAGAGAACTATCCGGTTGACTCCAAAATCTCTTTTGTAAGTGGTAACAGCTAATTTAGACCCCTTCAATTTGCATGTATAGTTGGGATTATGTTTTCTAATATGCATTACTTTGCACTTGTCAACACTGAATTTCATCTGCCATTTTGTTACCCAGTCACCCAGTTTTGTGAGATCCCTTTGTAACTCTTCGCAGTCAGCTGTGGACTTAACTATCTGAAGTAATTTTGTATTGTCTGCAAACTTTGCCACTTCACTGTTTACCCCTTTTCCCAGATCATTTGATATGTTGAACAGCACAGGTCCCAGGACAGATCCTTGGGGGACCCCACTATTTACTTGTCTCCATTCTGAAAATTTCACCGTTTATTCCTACCTTTGTTTCCTGTCTTTTAACCAGTTCCTGATACATGAGGACCTTCCTCTGACCCCATGACTACTTATTTGCTTAAGAGTCTTTAGTGAGAGACCTTGTCAAAGGCTTCTTGAAAGTCCAAGTACACTACATCCACTAGATCACCCTTGTCCACATGTTTGTTGACCCCCTCAAAGAATTCTAATAGATTAGTGAGGCATGATTTCCCTTTACAAAAGCCATGTTGACTCATCTCCAAAATACTGTGTTCATCTATGGTCTGATAATTCTGTTCTTTACTATAGTTTCAACCAGTTTGCCTGGTACTGAAGTTAGGCTTACTAGCCTGTAATTGCCGGGGTCTCCTCTGGAGTATTTTTTAAAATTGTCATTACACTAGCTATCTACCAGTCATCTGATACAGAGGCTGATTTAAGTGATAGATTATGTACCACAGTTAATAGTCCTGCGGTTTCACATTTGTTCATTCAGAACTCTTTGGTGATACCATCTGACCCTGGTGGCTTATTACTGTTTCGTTTGATCAATTCGTTCCAAAACTTCCTCTGCTGACCCTTCAATCTGGGACAGTTCTTCAGATTTGTCACCTCAAAAGAATGGCTCTCGTGTTGCAATCTCCCTCACATCCTCTGCAACACAGACTGATGCAAAGAGTTCATTTAGCATCACTGCAACAGCTTTGTCATCCTTGAGTGTTCCTTTAGCACCTCAATTGTCCAGTGCCCCACCTGATTGTTTGGCAGGTTTCCTGCTTCTGAAGTGCTTAGAAAAAAAAATTTGCCGTTAGTTTTTGTCTTTTGCTAGTTGTTTTTCAGATTAGTGTGTTGTTGTTTTTTTTTTTGGCCTGCATAATTATACTTGACTTGCCAGAGTTTATGCTCCTTTCTATTTTCCTCAGTAGGGTTTGACTTCACATTTTTAAAGGATGTCTTTTTGTGTCTCTGCCTATTGATTCTGTTTAGCTATGATGGTATTTTTATTTTATTTTTTGGTCCACTTGCAGGCATTTCACTCTTGTGACTGTTCCTTTTAATTTCCATTTAACTAGCCTCCCCGTTTTTTGTAGTTCTCCTTTTTGAAGTTAAGTGCTACTATGGTGGGTTTCTTTGGTATTTTGTCACCTACAAGGATGTTAAATGTAATTACATTATAGTTGCTATTACCGAATGGTTCAGCTATATTCACCTCTTGGATCAGATCTTGTATGCCACTGTTGCTATAGCTTTTAAAAACTAGGTTTTGGGCAGGGCAGCCTGAGCAAACACTACAGAACTGTCCATTTCATAATGTAGCTTTGTATTAAAGTCCTATCCACATGGCATATACAAGATTTATTCAAATTGCACATTAACCTTGGACTCTGTATTAACTATAAAAAAATAAAATAAAAAAACTATAGACCCTCCAGGCTCTCCCCCTGCCTTGTAGAGGCTGAGACCACCCCCCTAATGCGCTCTCCTGTACAAACGGACCTTTCTCCCAGCACTTCAAAGCAGTTGTCAGCCAGGGGAGCGGCGAAGAAGCGTGAGTTAGACTCCCTGTCTGTCACAGAGAAACTGTTCTTTGGGGATTGAGAGCCCATCTCCTGGTAGACTTGGCTATCTCCAAAAGAAATAAAAACGTGGATTATTCTAGGTTGGACTCACGTGTTGCTGCTCTTTTCATAGCAGTGGGTGAGGAAAGACTCAATGCTAAAGCTATATTTAGATAAATATCAATACTAAATAAGCAGCCTCCTACTCTAAAGGCAGCTTTTGAAACCACTGAGCTTTTCAGGCTTCAATTACCCAGTTAGGAGGAATCCAGTCTGTCCAGACACTGTCCTCTCCCTTCCTCCTCCTCCTGCTAAGTCAGGTTTGTTTGTTTCAGATGATATCTTGTGTGTTGCAAAGTACTTGGCTTCAAGTTTGATCTTTCCTGCCAATCTGTGAAATAAAATCAGTGTGACCCTATTTGACAGATGCGCAGAGAAGCGATCAGTGCTGGCTCTAGCTTTCAA